TTCTGTTTCTTTTTGTTTTGTTTTGTAAGTATTTATTTTGTTTTGTAATTATATCTGTAACTCCTTTAGCTCCAGACATAGAATTATAAATGAAACTTGAGTCTATTTCTGCATGCCCAGTGAAGCCACAAAAGCTGAGAAGTATCTCAATTAATTCTTTTTCAGCTAGTTGGATTTTTTTGGGGGGAAAACCTTACTCTTTCTCACATAGAGAAATATTTCTATCATTTCATTTAAGCCAGGCAGAGAGAAGCTACTGAACTAACATGCTCATGGTTCATCATTTGGGACTATGTTTCAGCAACATCAATAATGCTGTAGACTATTCATTGCTGAGATAGCAGAATTGCATCTGCTGTTTTGTATAATTGCCTCTTTTTGACTATTTAGACACATATTTGTGATTGTGATTTCATATGAGAATAGGCAAATGTTGTGTTTGTATATGTGTGTATATATATATATGTTTTGAAAATTTGGATTGCCAACAAAGAATTAAGGGAGAACTGGAATAGCCATTTCGAACTTTTTAGTTCTTTTCAACCAGACATACCCTTCTGAGATTCGAACCTGGGCCGACAGGGTGCACCAAACTCAAGATCTATCTATCTATCTATCTATCTATCTATCTATCTATCTATCTATCTATCTATCTATCTATCTATCTATCTATCTATCTATCTATCTATCTATCTATCTATCTATCTATCTATCTATCTATCTATCTATCTATCTATCTATCTATCTATCTATCTATCTACAGGAAGTTTCTATACTGCAGTTTTTCTTTTTACAATATCTTTTACCATGCAGCCCCCAACTAGGGGCGTTAAGCAGGCTCAAGTTGCAACTGCGAAACATTTTAAATCCAAATTTCTTTTTCTGACAAAGAGTTAAAGAATTAAATCGGGAGACTAAGATGTGAGTTTCCAGTTTTGAGAATCAAGAAGGGCATAACTACTTGTGATATGCATTGAAGGTTCAAGAACAAATCAATATAATCTAGGTAGAAATTGAATTACAAGAAAAAGAAGTGTCTGTAGGATGTGGTTGGGAGGAGGAAATGGCCTCTTGTTGTTTCATTTTGGGAGACAATGTGATGACAATAGCAGTAGTACTACCCTTGCCAGATTTCAAGTAGATATTTTCAAATAAAGAACATTTTTCCATCAAGAAATAGAGTTTATTGCAAGAGTTTAGCCAAAATGTAACTGTTCCTGAATTACAATAAATTTGTGGATCCCAGTTTTTTGACCTGGCCTCTGGGGACGCCACCTTAGTTTGTGCATCCTTGGGAAATCTGACAATGATGATTCAACAATACCGTTCCAAACAGAAACTATGAAATTGTTTTTACAGAGATGAACAAGGATTAAAATGAGATTGAAAGAGTGTTGATTGGATTTATAAGCTGCCCAAATCATAACAGACTCTGAGCATGCATTCACTCAAAAGTATGTATGTGTTTGTATTTCTGTAGTCAGGTACAAAGCCATATGTTTTTAAAAAATGGGAAAAATTCTTGGCCTACTGCAAGTTCAAATACAGCAAAAATACACAACTCTTATGGTTCAGGTGACTTCTTAGTCTGCATTAATTTAGCTTTTTTTGCTTCTCCAATTTGTATACTCACAAATATGCCTTTGCTTTTATAGCCTTATTAATAATCATGAATACATTTCTGAAAGGATCCACAACTCACTGAAAGCAGCAAATGATCTGCTGAAAAGATCACTTGACATTGGAATAGTTTTTAACAGGATTTGTTTCTTACACAACAATGATCTACAAGATCATATGGCCTTATCATAAAAGTCATTGTTGAAAATATGCAAAACAAAAACCTTAACATGCCTCAGGCTTTCTAACAAAGTATTTTAGAACCATAAAACAAAAATTGGACATTTGGTTACAATCACACAAGATGCATTTGGAAGAAAAAATATAAACTCTCTGAAGAGTACTATATGAGATTTGTATGTAATGTCTCCAATCGTACAAGATGGCAATATTGGTGCACTAGAAGTTTTGACTATTCTTTACCATTTTTCCTCTTTTACCTCAGTTGATGGGAAGTTTGTATCACTATTGTTTGTGCAAATTGATATCTGCAGTAAGTCCTGTTTAGTGCCGTTTAAGCAATGTGCTGTGATTGAATTTCTGACTGCCAAGGCAGTCTCTCCACCAGTGAATGCAAGTTGTATTTAGTTATATTTGTGTTAATATGAGTGCTATGTGTGACTAGGCCAAAAAATAAATGAATAAATAAAAGAATTGATTTTGTAATCAAGGACAAAATGAATTATGTGACGGCAGAAGAAAAATTTGACATAAGAACCACTGATGAACTGATGAAAAATAATTGGCAAACCACTTAAAGCATAATTCCCATCTAGCATGATGATTTAAAATAAATATGGCTCTTAAACCATCAGGAAATATAATAGTACACAATGCAGGGATTTTAAAAAAATGTGTCGGGCTAATGGCTGTTTACTTTTTATTTTTTTTACTTTAAATATGGTTTAAGAGCCATATTTATTTTAAACAGTGGATTTCCCCATAGAGGGTTGCAAAAAAAATGGAAATTGCTGCCGTTACAACATCCTCATTCTTCCTTAGAATAATGGATATTTGTATAGCCAATTACCACAATAGCAAAACTCACTCATGACATTTTACTGTTTATATGATCAAAAACAATTTGAATTGAAACATGAGCATTCTGAAAGCAGAGAAAAATGCCCTAGCTATTATATGGTCATTTTCAAAAAATAGCTGGTCAGTTAGTAAGAAAGAGACAATTAACAAGTTAATATTTCTTTCTGGCTCTATTTTTCTTGCATTGACTTCTGGGAGGAGCAATCAATGACCTTACTGAATGAAGATAAATCACTGGGGGGTTCAGAATACATGTTAATAAACACCTTTCTACTTCTTTATAAACCTTTTGTTTTCTGTAAGATTTCAGAAACAATTAGGCGTGAATGGGTGAGTGTTCAAAGCTGAAAACTAAAAGGGTAGGGTTTAGTTTTAAACTGTAAAAATATTTCTGTTTGAAAACATTTGTGAATGATAAAACTATTTCTTTTTTTTTTCAAACAAAGTTCAAACAAAAAATTTTAAACAAAGTGTTTTTTTTTGTTAAACAAGAACTGCATAATACTTTCATTATATCACTTTGTACTCCAACTGCATTGGCAGGTAGAGAGAACTGTGGATCATTTCAGTGAATTTCTCATTTCTGCCTGTTTTATTAATATTATTGTTCAAGTACAAATGGTCATAATTTAATGATGTTGAATAATCAGTCCTTACAGTAATTATAGATATTGTTGTATTGAAAGTGCTTAGTGTCAGATAAAACATAACTAGATTTACTGGAGACGGCAACACATCTAGAAGGCAGCAACAGCCTCGCTCTTTCTACTGTTTTATTCTTCCATTGTTCAGGTTATTTTGCTGTTTCCCTAATGAAGGGATTTTCCCCATTTAGGGGCACTCTGGCATTGACACTGAGGGGCTCATGACATAGACTTTGTAATTTGGTAACTAACATAATTACTTTGTATTTTAGCAGCCAAAAACGCTAATACAATCGTTGATTGTATAAACAGGTATAGAATCAAAATCACGTGAAGTATAAGTACCGCTTTATAAAGCCTTAGTAAGGCCACACCTAGAATACTGCAACCAATTTTGGTCACCACATTAGAAAAAAAGATGTTGAGACTTTAGAAAAAGTGCAAAGAAGAACAACTAAGATGATCAAAAATCTGGAGACTAAAACATATCAAGAACAGTTGCATGAATTAGGTATAACTAGTTTAGAGAAAAGAAGGACTAGTGGTGACATGATAGCAGTTTTCCAGTGTTTGAGGGGCTGCCACAAAGAAGAGGGGATCAATTTATTCTCCAAAACACCAGAGGGCTGGACAGGAAACAATGGTTGGAAACTGATCAAAGAGAGAAGCAACCTGGAATTAAGGAGAAACTTCCCAACAGTGAGGACAATTAACCAGTGGAACAGCTTGCCTCTAGAAGCTGTGGGTGCTTCATCACTGGGTTTTTTTAAGAAGAGACTGGACAGTCACTTGTCTGAAATGTATAGGATCTCCTGCTTAAGCAGGGGGTTGTACTAGAAGACCTCCAAGGTCCCTTCCAGCTCTATTCTGATTCTGATTCCAAAAGAAGATGGTAAAATAAAGTATTGTAAAATAGAAATTAGATAATGGCATGGGATCAATGTTAAAAATATACTTCTTTGTTCTTTTTTTCAAATGCATTTACAAGGGTATTTATGCTTCATCTCAGAATATGGAATTTTTCAAAAAAATATAAGAAATTTGGATATAGTTTTAAAAAATTATATTAGTCCTCAAAATTATATGGGGTTTTTGTTATATTTATTTCTTTATATATTTCTTTATTATTATGCTGTGAGATTTTCCTAATCAAAATCATTTTTTTTATATTGGAAACAAATGTGAAAAGTAGTTGAGTCTGGAGACATTATTAATACAAATGTTTATTTCAGAAAAAAATTCATAGCAATATTAGGGTAGCTAAGTTCTTCTTGAGAAGTTCAAAGGATGGATGAGAAGCATGTAGCTTTCGGGAGACACATTTTTAATTTACCACCATAACAGAACATTGGATACAATTTTGACCTCTAGTTACTGGCATGTTGACAAGCAATATGCTATGTTAATAGCTCTTAATCTCTTTGTAATTAGCTATTGGAAGCAAATTTCAGTCAAACTCACAAGAACTCTCTGTTCTTCTTGTTCCCTAAACTAAGAAGTATGGTAATTCTTTTTAACCTTATTCATTTAGCTGACTGACATGGGCAGTTATTAAAATTTAATGAATTAATTAATGAAATCCTTATCCCCATGCTGAATTGGATTTTTCTTATTTCAGATGAATTTATGAATAATTTTGAAACAGACCTGCTTTCTTTCTGTTTTATCTCTTACTGCAAACATCCTGAGAGGAAAATGGACAACCAATCCACAGACTATTATTTTCTGCTCATGGAATTCTCAGAGGTACGAGAACAGCAGATACTTTATTTCTTGGTTTTCCTGGTGATGTATTTTGTAGTTGTGACAGGAAACCTCCTCATCACCTTTGCAATAATTTTCAACCATCACCTGCATACACCAATGTACTTCTTCCTGTTGAACTTGGCCATACAAGACCTTGTGGCTATTTCAGTTATTCTCCCTAAATCAATGGCTAATATTCTCATGAATACAAGATACATTTCTTATCGTGGATGTATTTGTCAAGTTTTCTTTTTGGTCTTCTTTCTGGGATCAGATTTGTGGGTCCTCACTGTCATGGCATATGATCGTTATGTTGCTATTTGTAATCCATTGCAATATGAAAAAATAATGAACAAACAAGCTTGCATTTACATGATTCTTGCAGTTTGGATCAGCAACCTTCTTAATGGATTGTTGCATACCTCTGCTATCTTTGAAACCCCTTTTTGTTCCAACATCATCAATCAGTTCTTCTGTGAAATTCCAAAGCTACTTAAACTCAGTTGTACAGGGTTAAACAAAAATGAAATCAAAGTAATTGTGGTCTTTTCTGTTTTAGCCTTTGTTTGTTTTTTCTTTATTCTTTATACTTATGTATCCATTTTCACTGCTGTGCTGAAAATTCACTCATTGGAAGGAAGGAAAAAAGCCGTTTCTACTTGCCTACCTCATGTTATTGTGGTTTCCATATTCTTATTATCTGGATTCTTTGCTCATTTGAAACCTTCCTCCACTTCATTGGACTTAATCTCAGCTTTGTTATATTGTGTTATCCCACCTTGTTTGAATCCTGTCATCTATAGTATGAGAAATAGAGACATCAAAATTGCCTTGTCTAAAGTGTTAAATATAAGGAAAATGTACAAGAAAATATCAAACATCAAGTGTATTTCTGGATAAAAAATATTCTATATATTGCAATCACAAGGTAATTAGTAAAACTAGACTGCATTCTTTATTACTTGCACAACTTATATGTAAGCTCACAATTGATATATGTATTGATATATGTTAGAATAAAAAAGATAATACTGGGGAATTTTTTTCAAGAAATAGAACAACATGCTTAATCTTTTCTGCTCCCACAACTGAAACAGAATTGTCCCATTTAGTAATTGGATGGAAAAGTCCAGAATACTGTAGAATTGAAAAAGAGACTGGTAAGTTCAAATAATATCTCAGGATATAATAAGGGCAAAGTAGTTTGTTTCCTATAAAAAGAACATTTTTTCATGAATTTATAAAATCATCAGCAATTGAACTACACTTTAAAACCACACCTAGAATACTGCAACCAGTTTTGTCACCACACTATAAAAAAAGATGTTGAGACTCTAGAAAAAGTGCAGAGAAGAGCAACAAAAATGATTAGGGGACTGGAGGCTAAAACATACAAAGACTGATTGCAGGAATTGGGTACATCTATTGTAGTGAAAAGAAGGACTAAGGGTGACATGAACTGGACATGGCTAGTCTAGTAAAGAGAAGGACCAGGAGAGACATGATAGCAGTGTTCCAATATTTGAGGGACTGTCACAGAGAGGAGGGGATCAACCTATTTTCCAAAGCACCTGAAGGCCAGACAAGGAATTATTGATGGAAACTGATCAAGGAGAGATTCAACTTAGAAATAAGGAGAAATTTTCTGACAGTGAGGACAATGAACCAATGGAATAGATTGCCTTCAGATGTTGTTGGTGCTTCATCACTGGAAGTTTTCAAGAAGAGACTGGACAGCCATCTGTCAGGGGGTTGGACTGGATGACCTACAAGGTCCCTTCTAACTCTGTTATTCTATTCTATTCTATTCTATTCTATTCTATTCTATTCTATTCTATTCTATTCTATTCTAAATATAATTTGCTTTAGGCAAACAGAAGCAAAATGGATCATTTATTTCCAGTTCAGCTACAACATTGCTGGATTTTAGAAATTTTTTCTCCCACTTTTCTGCAAGAATATATTCCATTCCTTCCCTACATTTTAGCAATAATGAACCTATAGCACTCCAAATTTTACTGAATTAAAAATCCAAGCATTATTTACAGTCAAATTAAATCATGACCACCTTTATTATGGACATTAGACCAACATCAGAAGAGTGGGATACAAAATATTACATTAAAGTCTTAAATTATAATAAGATAAAAATGCCAAATCCAGTCTAAACCAACAATAATCTAGCAACCAATTGTAATAATACAACAATCTCCACATTGTGAAAATTTCTACTTGTCAATTGCAGAAGACCACTGTGCTAGATTCATACATGCCAATACATTATGACATTCTAGGTTTTTGGAGAGAACTCGATGCATATGAAAGACAACACTATCAGAAGAATGGCAGTTGTAACTTCAGACTGTTTGGAACAGATAATAATTGAACAAAAAAGCTTTTAGAATCACAGTTATTTTGTGTGGATTTTGGATAGCCTTAATCTGCAGTGGAAAAAAAAGGGAATCTCTTCTCTGCCAGCTGTCATTGTTATTTTCTGTCTTAGTGCCTTTCTATGCCGTTTTCCCCTTCCTCTCATTGCTGACAAATTCCAGATTCCTGATCCATGATATTATATTTTGTGAACTGAGAGAATTTAGCAGAAAGGAGTGGAGGAAAATATCAAATCAAAAGATTTTATGATTGGATTTGTTCTGATTAATCATGTTTAAATATATTTTTATTATGATAATAATAAAGGCATGTTGAAGTCATTATAAATTTATGACACCTTAATTGTAGAAACAATGATTTGAGAGACAAAGACATTTAATGTAAGGTAGAAGCCAGGGGGAAAAAATCACTTGCTATTTAAAAGAAGGTCGTTTGGAGAAAATGTCCAATTCTATATATTTGTACTTTAAATTATAAGTTTCATAAAGATTATTCTTCCTCACAGAACCAGAAATGTTGCATCATCATTATGAGTCTTAAGAAAATGTGTCATCCCAAAACTAGGTGTAAAAGAAGAATTTGGAGCAACCCATCCCAAACCATAAAACCTCTGCCAAAATTCAGCATCCAATCATAACGTTTCAGCCATAGAATTTGGGTTGGTGGTGAGGGAAACTGGTTAAGCACAACCCATAAGAGCAAGCAATGAATTATTAAACCAACTCATACAACAGTTCAGGTATACAGTTTAAATCTTTTTGGAAATTGATTCATTTTAGGATGGCTGGAGTGGCAGATGTCTCATGTCTGTCAAAACTTTGGCCCATTTTTTTTCTGTCTTTCATATCTTTATTCTTCAGTCTTTTGCAATGCTATGCAATAAAGCAGGGGTCTCAAAAGTTTTCAGTCTGAGGCCCACATTGGACAATTTGCAGACATTCAAGGGCTGAGAGAAATAATCATTTAATAAATGAGTGAACAAAATTTAATTGAATGTGTTTTATTTTGCTCAATGTGATATGATTCACAACAGCAAAAAAAGAAATGTGATAGGTACAAAAAAGCAATACCATGCTTGCACAGAAGAATAATATAAGAAAATGTCAAACATTAGCAAATATTCTGAATAAATAAATTAATAACTGTGGATGAGAAAAGGAGACTATTTCAGATCACTCCTAGCATCCCTTTGCAGGCAAAGGAAGTGATACTCCAGCTGGTTTCCTCTCCCTTGGTTGGTCAGCCATTATCCAATTTAGAGAGGGCTTTCTTTGGGTGGGTTGGGATGATCTACATGGCAGGAACTGGTGGGTTGGAAGGAAGCTTGCAGAGGGGCAGATGAAATCCCTGCAATAAAGTAACATAGTAAAAAAAGAAAATCTTGCTCCTACAGAATTAGATGAAGTCAAAAGTTTGACTTATTTTGTTTCCAATAAAGTAATTTGTGAAGCAGCATTTTCCAACCACTTTGGTAAGATGTATTACCTAAACATTCAGTTCAACAGCTAATGCTATATTAATTTAGGAGTATTTTAAACATTTTCCCCTTCTTTCTCCATTAGTGAAAACTACATGCCATTAAAAACATTTATAAGCATCACCACCATAGAAGTCTCCTGTGTTCATCATTGTCCTCGGTCAGAAACAGATATTATCACTTTGTTTATTGATGGCCAACAAAAAAGGCACAATTTGTCCCCTAAGAATGTTAGTATGTGATAGTGCTTGTAAATTCAATGAAAGCAGGGATCAAGGAGCACTCCCAAGCAACTCATCCAGGAAAAGCGTCAGTTAAGTTGCAAAGTCTGGATTTTTTTCTTTTAGTAACACATCTGTCCTGTATCAATGATAATTGATCATGTTGTGTACTATAGGACTGTGCTTATAAAGCACTATGAAGCGGTATATAAGTCTAAGTGCTATTGCTATTGTTCTTGGGGGGGACTTCAAGATTTGTAGGCTTAGTTAAATTATAATTTTTTTTTTCCAAGGTATAAGTTTTTATTATTTTTATCATAAAAAAAAACACATCACAAGTACATCACAATGCAAAAAACCCCACCCCCCACCCCCCACCCCGGACTTCCCAAACCTTATCCCAGGATACTATTCAACTAAAAGTAAACTAATATTAATATCCCTAACTCCACAAAATATTATTCTACGTAAGTAGGTGAAATATGTAAAAAAAGGAACAAATTATCTAAAAGAGTTAAATTATAATTAACAAGGAAAAGGAACAAGATAAAAGAAAAGAGGAGGAGGAAGTTAAGAAAAAAGCAAACCACAACAAGAGGAACAAACTCACCTTAGAAAATAAATTACAGCTCATTAGAATATAACCAGAGACTTTACACCATAAGATTCAACAAGGCTGCTCCTATGGTGTGCACGTTTTATGGGGAAAAATGTCCTAATGCTACAGCCTAAAAGGCTAAAAGCTTAAAGATTGGACCTGGGGAATTCAAGTATGGGTATTGAAAGATGTTCAAGGTTTTTCACCAGTTATATTCACTGTATTCTTCTTTTGATTCTGTAAATACTTACACATTAAGGCAGAACATACATTCAAAGTTGCAGAACAATGTTGCATTAATACTACATAGTGGCTACATCAACTGAGAATGCATTAAACATGCAATTTTAGCATAAAATATATACATGTAACTGTATTGCCAATTTGTGATAAAACCCACTGGCTGAAGGAAAGACAATCTCTCTAGGGAGAGTAAAGATATATTTCAACATGGAGTAGATTCAGGGGAGCAAACATTTGAGATAAGACCCTTAAGGCTACATCTGCTATTTCTCAAGGGAAGACAGTCAATCAGGCCAGATTCTTGTAAAAAAGGGATTGCTTTGGCCTATGCACAAAGTTGTTCTGGTTGCTTGCCCCAACATTAGTTGTAATAAACAAATGGAAAGGCAACTGCATGTTTATGCTATGCAATAAATTATTGTGTATTTTAGCCCTACGTTTCAGAATTGATGTGTTGCTGAGGTTTCACAGAACTACTTACTTAGTTGATATTAGGTTTAGTTTTATTATTCCTGGAAAGTTCTGGCAAGAAGGCCAAAATGCACTGGGACTAAAGATTGCATAGTGTTGTGCACTTGATTCTTGAGCTAAAAAAATCCTTTTTTCCAGAGAGTAATAAGAATATGCAAGTCAGTCAATTGATATCATATCTCCAATATCATCAAAATTACTCTGATTTAAAATTTGGAAATTCTCAAGCAGAGAAACAGTATGACAAAACTACTGTATTATTGATTGTCTGTCATCCAGATGCAACCATACACCAAAAGTGTCTCTTCATTATAGAAACAAACAAACATAATTAAATAGTTAATGATCTATTTTTTCTTTGTTTTGCTTAGATTGAATCCTGGAATAAAGAGATTTGGGAAGAACAAACAAAATCCTTGCTGGATGGAGAGAATTCTCCAGAGACTACAGAGTCTATATTATTACACTTCTTCCAACCTGCTGAAAACCTTTTTATTGT